CCCACCCCCCTCCCCAAACCAGACCGGCAAACCTCTGTGTATTCCGAGGCTTCAATTCTCCTCTCTCTCCTTTCTCACGAGGGCACAAGGTCACGCCGGCGAGGCTCCCTCTATCCTTTCCCGCTGGGGGGGGAGGGGACCGGGGGCGGCCCCGCGCGGGACCCCGGGGCGGCCCCGCGCGGGACCCCGGGGCGGCCCCGCGCGGGACCCCGGGGCGGGGTAAAAAAAAGGAATTTTAATAAGTGTCCAGTCTATAATACAGAGTCTTTGTCCATATTGTATAAAATCAGGTTATGATCAGGTTCTGAACTGAACCTGCAGTTTTGCTACGGATTTATCTTTTTTGGAATTAACTTGTTTTGGGTGCAATACCTGTATGTTAGAGATTCTCACTACCAATTTTTAGAAGCTTCAGCTCTTCTAGTGGCTGTAGGAGCTTCATTAGTTCTCTTCTGGATTGAATCCATCATAGCTACAGGCCTTTTTTAGCAGAATAGAGTTATCTTACCGGGCTAGATGTGCCTCAAGCAGACTATGGATTAGTGTTTTTTTGTTACTGTTAAGCCTCACCCTGAGACTTCACTTTCCAGGTCTGATGGGAAAGGAGGAGATGAATAGTGTTTGACAGTTCTCTTATAACAGCCATGCCAGTAAGGCAGTTGTGCTGGAGCAGCTGTGATATTGCTGCTGTTGGTGCAGAGTTATTCCACAGCATTTCAGATCTCCTGATTTTGCAGGTGTGTTCATTGGGCCGTTCTGCTGTTCATAACACAGGTACCCCCACAAGCCGAAAGGAATATTTATCTCCTCTCTAAGATGGGTCATCCCCCTAAGTACTGAGTGTGGTGTGATTTACTGCCACGGCAGCCTCGAAAAATCCTCTTTCCTGACTACATTCCTCTCACCCTAATGCTCATTCAGCCGGTGCCAGTTCGTGTTGTGTTAAGCTCAGGAAGCGAAATGAGCAGAAGGTCTTTTAAAGTAGAAGTGGCTTTGTGTGCCTGAGACCTTCAGCCAGGACTGGTGTCCCATTGTTAGCAGGGAGAGTCCACACTTATCTAGTTACCACCCGAGAACACATTTCCTGACGGCCGCATTGTGCTTTCTGTGCCTGCGCTTGGCAGTATTTCTATCAGAGCTTTTTGATAGGCTTTACTCGCTTCCTTTGATTTTCATTTACAGATCAGCCATGCCCTCTCAAGGTTAAACCTACTTTGTCTGTCCCTTTACAAACCAATTCTTTGCATTCTTTAGAAATGTAGCAAACGACAGAAAGTCACACTCCAAGACAAATACGCAGCTGCTGTGGGGATGGATTAAAGAATCATAATGTACTTGTTTGAAATGCTGTTTTCAGGACATAAGGGTTATCTTTTTTTTTTTTTCCCCAAAACTACCAGCAAAGAGTAAACAACCTGTTAAAAAAAGTCTAATGTTAGCTTGTATAGGGAAAAGTGATTCTGGTGTTAATTTTTTCAGTGAGTTCATCAAATTACATCTAACACACATAGCTTCACCTCCTACCTGATAGTTTCATGACTCACTCTGTTCTAATCTGAATTCTCTCTTGGATGCAAACTCCTGTGAGCTTGGTCAGCCAACCCATAGCACCTCGTTTCCTCATCCATTTTTCTTTCTGCCTTCTTCTGAACTAGCACCCACCCTTCTCAATCTCTCTTGTGTGCAGTGCATTAAGCACCTCCTGTCCAGTCACTGTCTTTGCTTGCCTGAATGGTTAGCAGGTTCTTTTTGGCCTGTCACTGCCTACGTGTTTTGCTGCAGTACTTACTACGTGCAGCTACTCAACATTGTTATTTCTCTTGGTTTGTCTCATTAAATAGCACATCTCAGCTCCCTTCTCATGACCAGTCCACTTTGAAATCCTAGTGGTATATTTATTAACTAATTTAAATAAAAAAACAAAGCAAAACAAAATCACAAATCAGTAAACCAGCAAAACTCTGTGTGGGAAAAAGCCAACACTCAAGCTTTTCACCTGACAGTCCTTCAGCAATTGGTGTCTGTTCCACAGACAGGATATTCTAAAGATAAAATGAGAGTCTTCAATTTCTCTTTTGTTTTACTTTATAAGGCTGTGCAGTACAGATGGAGACAAGAGAACAGAATATTAGTTAGCTGAAGTCACCGAAACTGAACTAAATTACACAAAAAGTCCAGCACCTGGTTTTCTAATCCATAGAAGAAGAGGGATCTGTCAAAGCTGGTTCATCTGCCACCTGGCATGTATTTCCTGTACCTGTCTCTAATCTTGGGCTGATTTTTGCTGGCACATTTCCAGAATAAAATAAAGGGAGCTTTAGCTTAATATTTTCCCTTTTACCTGCTTCCTCTGCAAGTCAGGAACATTTAAACTGCGTATTTTTAAAAAACCCTTAAAAGTTTATTTTCTAGCTTTATTTTTGGTCAGGGAAAATTATGGAAAAGTAGTTTAGGGTTTTTTTCATTGGAAAGTTGCTGATAGTTTTAGATCAGTAACAAGACTTCGTCTGTTCCTCTTGATCTCCCTGTGATACAATTTGTCCTGGAATCTCATGCTTTTCCCAATTGGTTTCAATGGGGTAGAAAGGTGTCCAGGATGTGTCTGGTGATCTCATCTATGGAGACATTTACAACACCTCCATTCAGTATTCCTCCTCCAATGTCCCACCTGGTCACTCTTCACTTGAAGCTGGAATCCTTTACTGTGAGTGAGACCCTGAATAATAATGAGTGAGAGTACTAGGACAGATTTTAAACATCTTCTCCCTCCTGACTTAAGGACAGCTAACAAATTTTTAGTTAAAATTCTGTTCCTTTTTGTTTGGTTTTTTTTTTTTAAAAAATTTTTTTTTTTTGGTTTTGTTTTTTAGTTAAGTGAATTAATTTTCTGAAGCAGTTGTTTCCCATGTCATGATGGCAATATGGCAACAGCACTGAATGCCTTCTGCTCTTCTGTGTTTCAGACAATTCCTTCCCTCTTCTCCCAGTCACTGTTTTCTAACTTAAGCAGAAAAGGCAAATCTTGAGAGTAAATAACCAGCCTTTTACACACCAGCTTGTGTGGCTGCTCCAAGCTGAATAGTGAAGTACAGCAAATGCTCTGGGCTTCCCAGGAGGCTTGAGCATAAGTGTGAGCCCTGCTGCTGCACCGAGTGTAGGCTGTTGACCTTGGAAGTGAAACAAAGATCTTGAGCCATGGGTTATTCATCCCAAAAAAGGGAGAGCACCTATGTGATGTGCCTTGTTTGACCCTGAATGGTTCAATATCACATTTCCTCAGTGTCTATTTGCTGGTTTCCATAGCTTAAACTACAAAAAGCCTGAATACAACTCATCAGAAGAATGTATTGGATAATTGTAAGGTAAATTAACAAACTCATAGTAATTACTGCTTCATATTTGATGAGATGCATGTTCTGGACATCAACAGATGCTGTTTTGGTTGGTTGTTGCTGGTTTTTTTAAAATCTTTCTTTTTTTTTCCCCTCTGAAACATTGTAGGATGGATTTTATTTGAATCAAGGTTTCCTCTGTTTTCTATTCTCAGGTCTGGATTGTATTGTTGTGGCCACTTTTAGCAGCATCATCCCTAGGGGTGCACAATCCCTGACACTTGCCCTGCCTTTTCTGGACGTGCCTGGGTACTGGAGCCATCACTGCTGGGAAGTCACCGTCCAGCCACGGTGGAAAGGAAGGGAGGTGACCTTCCCCAGGTCACTCCGTGAGCTTATGGCTGCTCTTCTCTCTCCCACTCATCCTTTATGAACTCACTGACCAGCAAGTTCCTCAGGGAACCAAAGTTCCTCGGCTGCTCTCTGTCCTGTGAATAGCTGAAGACTGTGTTTGCGTGGTGAAGGCAGTGGACACGATTTCTAAATTTCCTTTCACAGTGGTGCTCACCTGTGTGACAGCTGCCTGGCTCATCAAGAGAACACTTGCTTTCCTTGCAAACTCACACCTCCTCCCCCTATCCCTTGCCCTTGCTTGTACAGAGCAATCAAATAAAAAGGGTCTAATGCAACTGGCAAAAATCCAGGTGTTTTTTCGCACAAATATCCAAAAAATCTCTCTTGAGCTTGTTAATTAGGAGGGTAATGATTTCAGAGCCAACCTCCAATCCCCTCACAAAGGTGTTGATATTCCACTGTGGAAAAGAAGATCCATTTTGCCCCAGTGCATGCTCATAATTTCACTCACTGAGATGCTCCTTTTGTTTCAGGGCTGATGTTATGAAACAATAACCTACAAAAACAATAATTCCCTTGAAGATAATCGCTGTTGGAAAGGGGAGCCTTGCTTTACAGTCAATGACTTTGATGCCTTGGGTAGTTCAAGTAAGGATCTGCCTTGATTGACAAGACCCTTTCTATAAATTTGGGCAATTAAACAACCCAGTAGCAGCTGCTGGGGAGATCCACTGATCACAAAGCTGACAAAGATTGCTGTGCAGGTCTCCTTGCTGCTCACTCTGACGTCCTTAAACATCATCTGCAATTTAAAACTGCAAAAGGAATTCTGACTCCAACAAGTTAGGTGAGTGTGTGTCTGTGTTTGCTCCCCGTCATGGCTCCAGCTCATGAATGAAGCAGCAGGGTTTGCTAAAGTGACCAAGAATATATGTTTGATTTGTTCAGAAGTTTTTCTATTTTGCTCTCATATGTCTTCCTTTAAAAATATAGAATTCTAGCATTTTTTTTTTGCTCTGTTGAAGCTTATATATAAACATCTTCTCATTTAATCACATGTAGGACTTTAGTGTATGCATGGTGACATATGAAGCAAGCATTGTGTGCTGATCTAATGCTCTGATTTAGCAAATTTAAAGCATTTGGTTTAACAAGAGCTTAGAGACTCAAGCATCAGCCAGGGAAAAGGCAGGCCCAGCTCACTTAACTTCGGTCTATCCAGCTGAGGACACAGGCCAGTGCACACCAGTCTGTGCCCCGTGCAGTAGCTGACTTTCTCAAAATGAAGTGTCAAGTCTGGGTGGATATATTTGAATGCAGTGCAAGTACCTGAAGTATAAAATATATCTCGTGGCTTAGAGCTCCTTTCCAGCTCTCTTTTTTTTTTTGACAGAGAAAGTTTTTCAGAAAAGCCAGTTGCTTTTTTTTACTGAGGCAGAAGGTCAACAGGTATCAGAAGGTCTTGGTGGATGCTGGGCTGCTCAGGTGTGAGGAGTTCAAGCCTCCTCTGGTCACCTTGGCCGTGTCCCCCCTTGCCTAGCCAGCTCTGATCACTGGCTTGGCAGCCTCAGTTGGGTCTGAGCTGGCTGTAGGGCAGTGTGTGCCAAAGGGAAAACCAACCCCCCTGGCTGCAGCCCTGGGAGATGAACAGCACTAGTCCAGTGCTCAGGGTGTTGGTAATGGCAGCTCCAGGAACACTTTTGGGAGATGCTGAGATTATAGCACAAATTCAGGGATGCTTGGCTCCTAACTACTCAGCTATTGGACTTGTGTGAGCTCAGGGCAACCCAAAAGGGCTGGTAGAAAGGCATCTGCTGCAAAGCAACCCTGAAATATGGAGATTTCAGTGGGGCTGAGGCACTGGCTGGTGGCTTTATCTCTTCCAGGCAAACTCCCACTGCTCTGCAGGGAAAGTCTTTACTCTGCTGCTTTATCTGGCAGAACTTTTTACTAAGATTCCCCACTTCTGGGAGTACGTGACCCCCCATTCCTCTGTCTGCCCATCTTCTCTCATGCTGAGTGATGATGGGGAACAGTGTGTCCAAAGGCATGAAGGGGTTTCCCAGCTCCAGCTTAGCCTGCTCACTTGCCCTTCTTGCCTCCTGGACCGTGCTGGCTCTCCCAGCCCTCCACTGCTCTCCCTTCTGCCTCAGCATGAAGCTCCACTGTGTGATCCTGGGCGCTCTCCTTCTCCTGCTGCTGGGGGGCTGTGGCAGCACACTCAAGACCTCTGCCATCGACCTGAGGACCTTCATTGGCTGTGCCGTGCGAGAATTCACCTTCCTGGCCAAGAAACCCGGGTGCCGGGGGCTGCGGGTGACCACGGACGCGTGCTGGGGGCGCTGCGAGACCTGGGAGGTGAGGCTGCAGTTGGGCACTGACATCCCTGGGTGCTGCTTCCTCCCCCCCAAAATCCCTCCACAGAAACCCACCCAACATTAAATAGCTTGTAGGTATCTACTAAACAGACAAGGGCTGTGTCCCACTGCAGGACCCCCTCACTACCACCGACAGCGGCGTTTGTGGTCGGTTGTTCCCTCCCTCCTTTCCCTGCCCCAAAGGGGGATGGACATCATGTGACGACATCAATGAAGCCCTTATGTAAAACTCTTACTGCACAATCTGAAAGCCTCTTAAAGCTTGAATGCTTCAGGAGAGAACTTTATTACTTTTCACTTGAAAAAAAAAATTCCTTTGAGATTAAGATGGAGCTCCTGATTGATGGGTGATATATTTTGTTCCAAAAAGGAAATCCCAAAGATGATGTCTGTTTCTAATTTGGTCCTCTTTTAAGTCACAGTGCTGTGTAAATATGAAGTATTTAAGTTTTAGGGGTGTACAGGGGGAGGAAGAAAGAGCATAAGTACATCTACACTCAGGTCAGAGAACTACTTTCTGACTGTCTTTACCTTTCTGCCACTGGAAGGCTCAAGGGGCCAATCCCAGTTTAATTTATTCAGGGAAGCCTTGAGCCACTCAGAGGGATTTTGCTACATGAAGGCAAGGTCTGCATAGGTGACCAGAGGAGGAGGCAGGGTTTGTGGGACAGCTCTGACTGCCCTCCTTTTGTGACTTGGTGAGACAAGAGGGAAGGCCACCAGTGGCCAGATTCCATGGTGGGATAAGGTTCCTTTGAGGGACGTCTTGACACCTGGTTTCCCCTACCCCCAAGCTCCTCTGGCAGCACAGACTTTTCAGACTCTCTTAGTGTATTACAATACCACTGGGGTGTACTTCAGCTGAATTCATCTGGCTGTAGGCTCAACAGCCTCTAGGAAGCAGCATGATGTGTTTGGATGGGGAGTTTGTAAGAGGGAGGGTGTCTGGATATCTTCTTGATGAGATATTGCATCTGTTCTCTTCCATGCCATCATTCTTGTTTTCCAGGGAGGGCTCTTTACGCAGCAGAGAGTGAAAGAAAGAAATTAAAGTGTCTTCTGGCTGTGTTATCTTATGCTGTTTCCCATCTGTGCAAGTGAGAGGATGACAGTGGACTCCCACTGCTGTGTGCGCTGCCCCTTCTTGGAGTCTTTGGAAAATGGGTGTCCCTGTTAGGAAAAAAAATAATTTTTCAGCAAAAGCAATGCCACTGTGATACCCCATGACAGTGTGGGTTTCAAGGCCTTCATGCTCCCATCATCTCCTGATGGCTGAGGTCTCTGGCCAAGCTGTTTTTCTCAGGAGGAACTGCATTGCTTCTCTGCTGGCTGCTGTGCTGAGAGCTTTCCTCACAGTGTACACCCATTGGGCTTTGTGAGACGTGCAGCCTGACTGGGAAGACTGGTCTGGCTGAGAAAAACCCAGCCCTTGGCACCTGAGTGCACCCCTTCTCTTAGTCAGATTGTGCACATGGAGGGGTTTCCAGCAGAATGTGTTTAATGGAAAATCAATGCTTTTGGAAGAAAGCAGATGCTTTTGGCAGCATTTGGTCGAAACACTTGTATTCTGCTGAAAACCAGGTTTTTGGATAATCTTTTGTCTTCCTTCAAGCAGTTTTTAATTGGAGCTTTCATGCTTTAAACAAACTAAAACACGCAGATACACCACCCCCCAACCCCCCATGGCAGGGCTCCAAAAGGCAAGTGTTGAAGGATGCAGCCTAAAAATTATTTCCATGTCCCCTTCCACCTGATCTAGTAGCTCCTCTATTTACACTAAATCCCCCTGAGGAAGCTGGGACTCCAGATGTCTGTCTTGCCTCTTGTCTGAGGCCCTCATTTCTCCCCCGCAGAAACCGATCCTGGAGCCGCCTTACATCGAGTCCCACCACCGGATCTGCACCTACAACGAGACCAAGATGGTGACGGTGAAGCTGCCCAAGTGTGCCCCTGACGTGGATCCCTTCTACACCTACCCCGTGGCCATCCGGTGTGACTGTGACATCTGCTCCACCGCCACCACCGAGTGTGAGACTTACTGAGCTCCCTCCACAGCTCAGGCAGGGAGGGGCTGAATTCTCCCCCAGCTTCACACCCCTGGTACCTCCAGCGTTGCTGAGGATGTAAATCAGTCCTGAATTTGATCTCACCCTCTAATGCTCCTAATCATTGACTTCTCTGGGCAGATGAGGCTTAATCTCCTCTCCTCATGCTGTTCAAAGCATTATTGCTGTAGAAACCTAGTGCACAGCCTTACAATAGCAAACCCTGTGGTAAAAAGAAGTGATGCAGTTTCCCTTCCTCATGAGCTTTTCATGCTGTGTGACCTTTTCTCTGTGTACAAAGTGCACACGGACTAAGCAGTCACTGGGGGGTGGAAACAGCTCACAAAGGCATTGCCTCCTCTGTAACAGCCTCCTTATTCACCTGGGGTTTAACTCCTTCCCAGTAACATAAATGCAGTTACCACCATTGCCACCACCTCACTCTCCCACTCTCCCTCCGTTAGTTATTTTTCAGGAATAACAGTCAAAGAAAAATGTCTTAAGGCCAAAGAAATGGAAATGAGTATCCAAATCACTACCTTGAAATTAGGGTGAGTGCATACTCAGCCCTGACTCAGCCAAGTACTTAAGCTCATGATTAAGTGTTTTGCTCAGTATCAGTGGACTTTTACAGTTAAGTAGGTATTTGAGTGCTTTGATTAATTGGAGTTATTTTTCTGAAAAAAAAATTTGCCTCACAAGTGACAATTCCTTGAAAAAAGAGAGAAACACATTAATGTGTAGAACCATCTGCTTTCGTCCAGGGATTGGAGGGGAAATGGCTTCATGTAGAATCAGCAAGACTCTGCAGAGCCCAAGGAGTCTCTCCTGACAATTTCCAGAGTTAGAGAGACTAAGCCAAAATGCAACGATCATGATTTGGTTTCAGCAAGCCCCTGGCTGAGATGGTGGGAAAGAGGGGGCTGCAAAGGGTGTTCCCACAGTTCCCTGCACTGCCAAGTTCCAAGGAGACCCGCTCCTCTGAGGATGCACAGAGGGCTGGGGGACAGCCAGATGTACTGACAGTAAAGCTGTGGAGTATCCAGTAATGCTGGGTGAGACAAGCCCAGGACAGGAAAGAGAGCAGACAGGCCAAAGGACAGTTCACACCTCCTCAGACCTAACTAGGGGGGACATCTGGGAGCTGCTGCAAGAGCCCCCTGTGACCACAGCCACAGAAGTGCCTTTGTCCTCTGGTTCCCACCTGCAGGAGGACAGATCCACATTCATCCCTCATTTCCCCCCTGAATAAAATGGGAAATTATGTGAGCACAGGAAGATTTGCCAAGTGGGAGAGGCTCACAGGAGCTTACGAAACAAAGACACCTTCTCAGATAGCCATTAGGTGAGAATTGTTGCTGAGAGTAATACCTGCACCTGCTTTCCCCCCATACAGTGCCTTGTCTTCTGGATGCAGTCACCTTCATTTCTGGGGATGCATGCTTGAAAATTCCCCAGGTGTACTGTCCTCACTGAGACAGATCTAATTTAACCTTCAATTTATTAGTTGATGTCATTTTTTTCTGTCAGTGGAACTGGAAAAGCTGCACTGTGACTGAGTAGGAAGGAGGTGATTTTATCACTTTGTCTTCTCTAATTTTGAATAGAGACTGCTCTGTCCAACAGCAGAAGTTTTCTGCCGATGAAGAGTTTAACTAACCCTCCTTTAAAAAGTCCTCATGTTTTGTTTCAAATTGCATCTCACAATCCCTCTGTTGTTGTTAACTGGCATCACAGTTATTATGGAAAAAGTATAAATTATTTTGTGTCTTTAATAAATCTCACCATTGTAGCATGAAAGCAATTTAAAGCGTGTCCCTCTTTATTTATGCATAGAGATTTCTCACATAGAATATGTATAAACTCCTACAAACTCTTTGCCAGAGCTGTGAACACCTGCAAAACATCTCCTCGATGTGAAGTCATTTCCTTCACTGAGTTTCTCTGATGGAGTCTGGCTGTGCTATAGTCTCAGGATTAGAGGTAGGGTTAGAAAGTGGCAAACTTACTTCCTTTGCAGCCAGCAGGAAATAAGGGCTGTACCCAGACATGGTGAGACAGTAGAAACCTCAGCAAGTGATCAGACGAAAACACTGCAGGGCATGAGAAGAGTTTTGAGTGATGCAGCCAGACTGGGGGGCAGAAGAGGAAGGTGGGAAGGATGTACTGACTGAACCCAGTCAGTAAAAGACCACTTCAAGAGGGTCTTTTAAGGAGAAGAGCCAAAGTGTCTGCTGATGCTGTGTATTTGCCCTGAGCGACAAAAGTCCAGCTGACACCAGAGCCCAACAACCCATTTTCCATGGAAGTGATTGCTGGAGGGATTTAAAAAATGTATAAATGTGGCACCTGGGGACATGTTGTAATTGTGGGCTTGGTGGTGCTCGATTAGTGGTTGGACTCAATGATCTTAAAGGCCTTTTCCAGCCTAAATGATTCTATGATACGGTAATTTGAGTGGTACACATCCCTCTTTATCCAGCTGTGCTGAGTTCCCACAAGTAGAGAAACAACACTGACTTTCGAGAGACCAACTTCACTCCTGCCCCTGGGGCTTTATTCTCAGAAGTCATTATGGTACTAGGTCTTCATTCTGTTAAATTCCCACTGATTTTGATACTTAAAATCATTGAATGGTTTGGGTTGGAAGGGACCTTTAAAGGTCATCTTGTCCAAAACCCCTACAATGAGCAGGGACATCAATTAGACCAGGCTACTCAAGGTGCCTTGAATGTTTCAAGGGATGGGGCATCCACTCCAAGCAACATGTGCTAGTGCCTCACCACCCTCACTGGAAAAAACTTCTTCTTTATATCTTGTCTAAATTAACCTTCTTTTAATTTAAGACTATGACCCTTTATCCTGCTGCAACAGGCCCTACTTGTGACCAGGTCTCCAAGATTTCACATTCTTTATGTTGCAGCTGGTATGGTATGTCCTGCTTAGAATTTGCGGGCAGTCAACATAGCCTCTATATTTCAGAGGATGAGAAGCCCCTTCCCAAAACCATCTTAACCATAGTGGGAGTGTTTTAACACTCCTTAAATCCACAGATTTAAATCTCATCACCCCATCTATCCAAAGCAGTTAAATGACCCTTCTGTTTTTTGGTGCATGTTTGCAAGAAGCGTTTGTGACAGAGACTGTCACATCTCAGGTATTATCTCTCCCATGAAAATCAGTGGATTTTTTTGTGCCTCAATTTCCCTTCTGGACACTGGGAATGGATATATACATGACTTTTTTCTTCTCTGCTGTGTGCTTTGGAGTGTAAGATCACAAGGCTGTAAAGTCCTTTGCGATCAGTCATATCCGTATCCTGCACAGCACGGTGTCTCAGGTTTCTTGTCACTCTTTTAACCTGAACAGCAATAGTCACTATCATGCCGTGCTTCGATTTGTCACAAGACTTTCCTGTTCTATGACAGTGACAAAAGCTCAGCTCCCCTCATTCCCATGCTGCAGTTGGTGTGCCCCGCCAGACTGACCATGCCAGAAATCAGCATATTTTACCCCGCCTCCAGACCTGAGCTACCGTGAGAAGGAGGGCAGGATGCTTCCCTGGATGGGTGTTTCCTGCACTGACTGGATTTCTCTTAGGGGGACAGGACAGGCAGCTCCCTCTGCTCTCATTGTACTCCTGTGAAAACAGAGGAACCTCCGCCCTGGGTCAGAGCAAAGGGCTGTCTCGCCCAACATCCTGCCACGGACAGTAGCCAAGCGTGGATCTTCAGGGAAATGTGAAAGTATCAGGGCTGTACAGAGATATCCTTCTCTGCCTATATCCACACAGATTTATCTGGCAGCAGTTTAGGAAGTTTCTGCTCTGGGGGATGCCTTCGGCACCTTGTTGTTAACCCCTGACGTGCAGGTCCTTCCATGCCACTTCCTCCCAGATAAAGTCTGGCCATGGAAAGTGTGATGAGTAATACCATCTTCCTCTGGGGACAGATAAATCAAATATATTCCAGGCTACATACTGTGTCCTCTTGGATTGTCCTGTATCCTTTTATAGCAGCCAAGGATTTGAGCTGCAGTGCCTTTTTATTAGGAATAGACCTTGATATGCTTTGTCTTTACTCTGCGAGTGAGTGCCCCAGGCAGGGGCTGGTTAAACCCACTGAGGTTCACAAGCTGCAGAAACACAAAAAGAGCCTTTCTCTGGTGAAACTTGCTTTAGCCCAATCAGTATAAGGGACATTGTTCAGAAATGGTGGGATTTATAGCCTTAACTTAAAGACCAGACCAGCTGATCAATGGGATTGATTCTGGTCTTGAAACAAATTGTTATGAAGACCTACATAACGAAGGCACTATTTTTTTTTGGTTGTTCGTTTTTAAACAAGATCCACATCTCTGCACTGAGTTCCTGGAAGACTGGGGCCAGTCATATTCTTAATTTCAGTCCATCAGAGCTGTCTTTCCTCATGTAACTTCTTCATCCCTGTAAGCATTTCACTTTCCCTCCTGACTCTATACCTGCCCTACCTGCTGGACCACAGGTAACACAACTCATTATCTTCCTTGCCATCAGCAAGGGTTTATTGGGAGGGTTTGTTTTCCATGTGTTAGGTAATAAACTCCCCTCAAAACTCCTAGGCTAACATTTTTCCACCTGCTTCACCAAGAGAGCTGCTGCTAGGCTGCCGTATGCTCTCTTCTCTCCAAAATGCTTCAGATTTCCATTCAAACAAGGAAAAAAAATCTTCTTATGGTGCTGTGATAACACAATGGAGACCACAGACAGAAATTAAAAGCAAAATGAAATTTTAACTGATAGAGCAACAACCAACCACCTTAATATTGATGGAGAATGGAGAACTAAGTATCTCCAGGCCAGTCCCTGAGGGATACCCTGGGACCAGAGTGAGCTAAAGGCTATCTGCCATCAGGGAGCCAGAACTGCAATTCCCACACTTCCACCTTTCTGTGTTTCCAGGCTGCAGGGGATTTGGTCAAGCAACAGTTTCCCAAGAGGAACATGCCCCAAACAAACC